TTTTTAGCGCATTAGAAACAGTTTTGTTTTTGCAGCATTAGGAGTATAATGTTTCAAATTCCTTTTATTTAGACTTTGCTTTGTTTGGCTGTTGAGAAAGGTTAGTGGTTAGTGTTCATTACTACTGTGTAAGATTCTCAATGATGGTATGAGTGCTACAGGAGCAGATCTGCATGGAGGACTCTATCCTTAGGAAAAATACTCTTCTTATGACAGAAGAAAGCAGGCAATGATATACAGGATTTGAAAGTATAGGAGGATGGGGTGATGGAGGGATTGGGAAGTTTGACTTTCTCCAAGGGTGGGAAAATGTTTTCTTTGGATTTACTTCTTCAAGGAGAAGAATAAAAACCTCGTGATCTGCTATGTAAGAGGCAGGGATAAAGCTTGAGATATCAGATATTGGACTTTTTATTGCTGGCTGGCAGTACTGAACTGCTTCCAAAATCCCACTACCAAGATTCAGTGGAACTGCAATACCAAACGCAGAGAGAGTTCTCTTGCACAGCATCCAGCTGGAATTTGGAAGTCATTTTACTAACAGACAATAATGGATTTCATCTTGAGCTTTTCCAGGAATCCTTATATCATTGGCTATAGAGAGGAAAAATCATTCTCCTGGAAAAAACATGCATGTGGGATAGACTAGGCTACAAAAGTATCTTCTCTGAAATTAAATGTAGGGACCTGCATGTTTCTCTCTCAGTAAACAAAGTTGGTAGAGGCTCTTAAATGTAATCTTATTTGTACGCACAAAGGAAGTTGGATCTGCTCTGCATGTTATGTTAATGATAAACAACAGAAGCTACATACATTGTAGCTCAGCTTGATGGAAAATGCGAGCAAAGGGAAAACAATAGCTAGCCAGAAGACAACACAAATGTTAGCGCCTGAGGGAGATGCTTCCTTTGATTTTGGCCATTAGATGGACAGACTAAAGCAGCACACTTACAGATTATGTCTGTCAATTTGTGCATGCCATGGCCTCAATCCAGAAAGTGGGTCTTGCCATTTGGATGTCTTGGTTTCACATATCCACAACCACCTACTGTCTCTCCAGTTACTACATAACACATTATCTAGCAAGTAGTACCTGGTTATAACAAAAGTCCTATTAAAATCTGAGGAGGACAGTTTATTGTATTTAACCATAAGGAATAGTTAGCACCCAGTCATTAAGTGACTTCTGTTGCCAGAAATATTTTAAGCCCACCACATCACACTCAAAAGGGACCTGCACTAATATTCATGCTCAACTTTTGTCCCTCTCAGGGTACATCATTAATTACATTGCACTGATAATTCACCAATGTAGAAATTAGCTCTATAGGTCCTGATGCTAGAAGAGATGACTTGGTCCACCTTCACGAGGCCAATGCAATTCATGTGGAACGCTCTGTGCAAATCATATAAACAAATTTAGAGACTGAGAATAAAAAAATAAAAAAATTAAAAAATTTGAAAAAAGGAAGCATTTGGTGGCAGAGCAGTAACTGTAGGTAAAGACTTCTTATATCCAACTTCGTATGTGCAAGTTCAGGGAGGCTGAGGAAACATATGCCATTGCTGCCATATCACTGTAACTTGTGAGATGATTGTGTCCTGAGGGTTGCAAACTTTAAGAAAAGCTGTTCCCTGCTTAAGTATTGCAGCACTGTAATACTGAACAGGAAAGTGAAAGAAGTTTTATGTTCTTTCCCCTTTTCTTTTTTCATAGAAAAAGAATTGAATAGTGTTTTTAGGGAAATATATATATATATATATATATTTTAATACCTTTCTTCTTTTACATATATAAGGAATATGAAAGATTGTTTTCCTTAGCAGTGCTGATGGCCATGCTAGCTGTTCTTGACAGCCTTGCGGAAAGTTTTCCAAAACGGAAACAGCCTTCTGAAGCCATAATTCAGGAAGCCTTGCTATTCAAGAAACATTTAAATCTTAGGAAAGCAATATAAAGTAATTAAGTGTGTTCTTAAGGACTTGAGTAAAGAGCACTCTTTGGTAACTTGTCAACCAAAGGAGAGAAGTTGATGGTTCTTACCGAAAATATAGTGTTTTCCAAATATTTGTTAAGCATTTAAAATAAGCACTTGGAGGGGAGGAACAACAAAAAACAAGCATGATTAAATTAATTCTGCCTCTCAGTTGATGAGGCTTTAATTATTAAAGACACAAAACAACTACTAGTTCTTCAGTCAACTGTAGTCTTCCAGGAAACATCAAGTAGCGAAGACACAATTTTTATAAACATTTGTTTCTTTTTACTCTCCACTCTTTACTGGAAAACAAGTAAGAGTAAATGTTCTTTAAGTCATGGTATAATAAAAAGCAATTAATGTCTCTTTTTCTCTGAGGTTTACCAACATTTCAGTTATCAATGATTTAATGTTTTAATAAATTCTAATTAATAATTTAGTCAATAATTTGTAATTATTATTTCTATATTATAATTATTAAAGGTGTGGGCACAGATTACTGCGTATAACTATGCTGCCGTATTAACATGAACATTCTTCTACCCTGCTGTGTGAATTGAAAAAGTACAGAGTGGTTTAGTTTTCTCCCGGGTAAATGCAAGTTGCCTCATACTTACATACAGTGTTATTTGGAATTGCAAGTCTGTGTTACTTCACACTCGTTTGTTCATGTATTCATGTTTTTTTGTTGTGATGGTTTTAATAAGCCGGAAAATAAATGAGTGATTTTATAATTTTTAGGTCGCCCTCTGCCTGAAAATAACACCATAAATATTCTTGTCACACACAAAGTCATCACAGATTTGCCTATTATCACTTGCACTAATGGAAACCCAGTTTCACTATGCAGAAATGGAAGGGGTACATCTGTATATTCCATTTATTTTAAAGTGGGTATTCCCAACCACATTTTGTTGCTCTGGATCTTTATCTTGTGTATTCTTATTCCTGGCTTATCTGTATCACTGAATCACATTCATTTTTCTTAATGCAAGTTTTAAGATTTCAGCGATTTCATACTTTAGTTATCAGAAGGAAGCTGGAAGTTTGCAGATGGCTGAGAGATAACTCAAAGTTTTGCAGCCTCCACCATTTGGAGAGAACAAAGGCTGTAGTTTCCCAATATTTCTGATTTGCTGTTTTTGTCTGTTGGGGAATTTAACCAAGAGAGTTTCAGTGATATGGTTTATAGCCTGGCCTGCAAGCATCTTTGGCAGCACAACTGAATGGACAGATACAAGCAGCCAAACAGGAGACATCTTTAGCTGACTTCACTACTGGAAAGCCTATTTTAGAGCTATACACTAGGGTATAATTTTTTTCTCTCCTTTGTTCAGGAGAGTGGCGGAGGTCATTTTGAATGAACTGGTAAGCTCCCTAATTGGCCATCCCACTTCAGCTTGACTCGTTATTTGTAACAGCATCCAACAACAATAAACAGCAAGTTAGACAGTGTGTTAGTACTAACCATAAGCAGCAGAACAAAACAATTTCTGTCAGCTAATCCTTACCCATCAAAGCAAACACACAATAGGTAAGAAGAGGCCACTTCTTGATTCTCACAGCTATTGTTCATGTTCTCAGACCTTTTTGTGCCTTTCTGATTTCAGTCTTCCCACCAACCCTGAGCTTACAGCTCCAGGTGTGGACATAGAAGGTAGCGCTTAAGCAGTCCTCATCTCCTGTTAGCATGATAGTAGTGTACAGTTCCCCATACCATCAGGAACTGGGTAAACAGTCCTCTCCCACTGGTCATACTGAAGCTTACAACCAGACTGAAAAACTGAGCCATTAAAAAAAATCAGGACAGTTCATAGTAATGGTATTCAGCAATGTTATCTATGCACTCTGCCCCATTCCTCTGTCCTGTTCTGCTGCTCCTGGCATAAGTTCTTCTTCCCCATACTCTCTCCATACACCTCAGCAGGCACAGTCTGTATAACCAAGACCTTAATGAAGAACAAGATTTGGTGGGAATGCCATCCTCTCTGTTTCTCTGAACAATTGCAGTCTGTTTTTGTGCGTTTGTTCTTTTTTTTCCAGGACAACAAAAGAAAACCTCAAAAAGAGAAAAATGGACATTAGCCAAGAAATGGGGTGGGAGAACATGTTTATGGGTGTTGGCAAATCCACTGTGCAGCTTTCCCATGTTATAAACTACATCACTGTCTACAAACACAGGCAAGATGCTCTTCTGCAGACTACGATGATACAAGACTGATATCTTATGTCTCTTATAAACTTAAATTAATAGTTTTCTACTGCATGTAATTAGAAGGTATTTTATAAAGAACGTACATGAGGTTCAGTATCATCCTAGAATACAATACAGAATAAAGCAGTAACGGGCTGCACAGCATGGCTTTAAGGCTCCTGCAAAATTAAAATAAAAGATTTGGAGGCTCCAAGCAATGCTGGTCGGTGCAGCAGGCTGGGGGAAGGGCACCATGTGGTTTGGGATATTTTCACCAAATGTTAAATCACACAGAATATTTCACTCGTCTCCACTGTGAGATCACAACATGACTCCTCTGTAATGAATTCTTTATCTTGGCAGCTCTCCTGCTTTCTCCCAACCGTTCCTCCCTCTCCCCTTTGGGTCCCCGTGCCGGCACATCTGGCAGCATTCAGCCGGTGATTTTGGCCCGGGACACTCACACCTGTGCCCAGGGGCCGAGCACAGTTCCAAGGGGATGAGGAGGAGGTCGAGGGGGTCAGGGGACCGAAGTTCCCCTCCAGACCCACTGCACGCACCCGACTCCACGCTCTTCTCCGAGGCACAAAATGCCGGCTCGAGGCGCAGCACCTCGGTTCTATGCCGGGTGCGCTGCTCAGCCTATAGCCTACAGCCCCTCGAAAGGCTCCACCGCCGCCTCGGGCCCACCAGCAGGCAGCACATGCCTATAGGGCTTGAAGAGCTGCGGGACCGGTTGCCGCAGCGACGGCGCGACTACAAGCCGCGGTCACGCGGAGACCGGTCGTCGGGGCGACGCGTGAGGTCCGCCCGCTGCCGGCACCGCCATGGCCCCCAAGCGGGCCAAGGCCGGCGGAGCGGCCGCCTCCTCCGCGGGGACCGCAGCGAAGAGCTGGGAGACTGCGCTGGTGTCCGCCCCGTTGGAGGAGGTGAAAGCGAAGGGCGGCCGAGGGGGGCCTGAAACTGACGGGGCGAGGGACGTTCGGGGGGGGCCGCGGGTCGTGCGGGGCATCCCGTGTCCACCTCCGGAAGCCGCCCTCGGCACGGCACGGCCGCCTGCTCTCCTATCCCCGGGTCGGGTGCCAAGTTTCGACTCGGAGTGAACTTTTTATAAACTGCTGAACAACGGGGGTTTCGTGGAGGTGCTGACACAGCATTAACTCCCGCGTTGAAAATGTGAGGCTGTAATTTTCCTGCTTGAGCGTGAGCAGCTAAAAGGCGCTTTTTTTTTTTTTTTTTTTTTTTTTTTTTTTTTCCTTTGCTTTTGAACAACATGTGAGGGTCTAAAGGCGTATTTGGGTTTCCAGGTTCTATGCGTAAGCAATGTCGTTGTAATAAATCTTGACTTGCAAGAAAGAAATTTGGTTTCAAAATAGCACGGCAGTTTTACAAACAATAATATTTCTCTAGCATGTGTTTGTATAGCACCACTTCTGCAAGTGAGACAAATGACTTCCATGGACCCCTTGTTTGGGGGGTTTGGGGGTTCCTGCCTCATTTGAAGACCCAGAGTATTTTTTGCTGTGTTTTTACCTTGTTATTTTTTAATAATGTGGTAACACTTCTGGTAAGCGTGAAGACTTTAGAGTTCTGTTTTTAAATTGGCCGCTCAGTTTTCCAAAAACGCCTCTGATTCCAAAAGTCTCCCAAAAGTACTTAAAACTTGCATTCATTTTTTCGTTTGGTAGTCACCATCTTGTACAAGTTTAGCCAAACAAAATCACTGTTTGCAGTAAGTTCTGCTCATCTGAGCCTGTTGCTTCTCTTCTCCTCCCCTCCCCCCCCCCCCCTGAATTTACATTTTCGAAAGTACTTGAGCCTTTTCATGCTGTCGAATTCCATCCTTACTCTAGGAGAACATCCCCAAAGACTGAGAAAGAGGTGGAGGTTCCCTCTCCATACCCTTCTCAGCTCCTGGCCATTTTCCTGGGCTTGCTAGCAAGGTGCCAATTAGCGAAATTTTGTTTTTATGGTGGTGTTTATTGTGGCTGTGGATATTGTCCAGTGAATTCACTGAACAAAGTGCTCTGTTTATTCTACTGCTTCTATTTGTAATTTATTACATTTGTTAAATATAAACTGTTACATTGAGGTATTTTAAAAGGTGGGAAATAAATGCTCAAAATTTAGGAAATGCCGAAATTAGGATTATTCAGGACCACACATTGAGGCAGATGGAAAGAAATATTGAATGTATTCACTGAATGGAATCAGAATCCTGTTGGAAGAAAGTATGTGATCACCTAATTAAGGATTATTGTAATGCCTGTACCCAAGGGAGCTTAATTAAGATTCCTTGGTTCCTTAATTGTGATACTGTCCATGTGTTTTATGTTCCAATTAAACTAATTCCATTTTCACTGTTTTGCTGCTGGCAGGCAGAGCCTTGGGGTCAATTTGAGCTCAAGCTTCTGTGGTGCTGGGCAACTGCTAGAACGCCCTGTTGGAGGGAATTCTTACTCAGCTCTGATTATCCTGGGCAGAAACAGACATAGCATTTAGCTTTCGAATGCTCTTCCGAGCATCAGAGTTCATGATGCCGAGATGTGGATATACTTAATGTAAATGATTGTGCTTTGTAAAGCCATACCTTTGGCATATGTGTGCCTGTGCTGCCAAATTTTTGTTTCTTCTTCTTGAACGTGGAAAAAACTGATTTTCTTACTTACTTAATCATGTAAGGTTTTGTTATGAAGAGATAAAAATGATCTTTCTAATCAAACCTCGTTCAGCAAATAGTCTAAACTCAGCATCCTCTTCTCCCCCTGCCCTCCTCAGCAATCTTACAGCATATAGCATTTAAACTCAAATACGTAAAGGTCAGACACTGAAAGCAGCCTTTTATAGAAAGTGTTGAGCTGTTTTAATTATAGGTGTCACCAACCACACTGTGCAAAATTATTTCTTACATCGTATGCGATATACTGTATGAAACTGAAAAGATTTGGGGGATGACAGGAACTCCTACCAATTAAGTACATTTCTCTCCTGGTAAATCATGCATAATGAATTTTAAAATCTTTTATCAATTTAGAGAATATTCTTTCCTTTTAGTGGAGTCAGAGGGCATTTACTAGAACTGGTTTTATACTGTACCAGGTAAGGTAAGCAATGAAATTTCACATTTTGATGTGTGTTTATGACTTACTTAGAATATTTTATTAGCCTGATCTTATGAAAAGGAGTCATTTCATATGTGCTGTTAACATTTTATGGAGGGTATGCTAACCAAAATATGATTTAACTGGTATTTACTAACCAAATAATGGCTTTTTCTTAAAAACACTGTGAAAACTGGCAAACAGACAACATAAAAACAGGTACAGAGGAAATATGGATTTTGCAGAGCCTAACGTTGTAGTTCATATACATCTTTTGTTTCTAACGTACTCTGCAGAAAAAAAATGGAGCTACAAGTTGAGTTTGTCTTCATTTATTTATCAAGATAATTTGATTGGGTTAATTGCAAAATTAAATCACAAAATATAAACTAAGATGCTCAGATTTACATTTTTTCATGCTTGAAGTAGATATAAGGCTGTATTTGCTGGTTGAAAAGTGAATTCTGAGCAAACACAGCTCTGATATATCTATTCTATGTCCTTATTAGGTGCTCTAACTGAGCATAGCAACTGGAAGTGGCGTTCTGCTCTGATTTCCCATCTGTGCTGTTTTGCTTTATTGGCATTTTAAGGCCTGAAAATTGAACTGAATCTAGACCTTGTAAAACCATTGAAAACATTCTGAATAGGATGGCTCAACTTTTGATCTCTATTCATTCTGCTTGCTCTTTGGAGAGAAACTAAATGCTCAGTTGAATTGTGTTGCTCTGTAACCTGCAATCATGCAGCAAAAGCCCAAGCTCCTGAAACCAGAATCCAGTAGTAACCTGCGTAGGTGCCAGTCAGCAGGTAATGAAAGCGGACTTGAAGGTATCTTAACACTGGTGCCCTGTGCATCTCTGCATTATGGCTGCAAAATTGCTGATGAGCCACTTTTTCCACTAATTCCTGCTGTATTTACAGGTTTACAAGCTCCCTCATTGCTGAAAACAAAAAATGCTAAGGGTTATGCCTTCCCAAGCCTTCGTAAATTGCTTATAATTCTTGCTTTTTCTAGGACTTTACTTAAAATTGAGGAGATTAAAGAATCTCGTTTTTCAATGCTCAAATATTTGGAGTTTTAAGCTTTCAAATGTTTCCCTTTAGCAATTAGAGTTACATTTGAAATTACAGTGTAAAGAAATGAGCCTACTAGTTGTGGCCCTTTGCAGGAAACACACACACACACACACACACACACACAAACAAACAAACAAATAAACAAAAAAAACACCCACAGATGAGACAACTGTTTGATGCTTTTTCTAGCAACAGGAATCTAGAAACCAGTACTTCAAGTGTAGCCAATGCATCTGATTTGTTCAAATGTCTCCTCTGAAACAACTGCTCTTCTATATCTAGGAAATGAAGCAAGACGTTAAAAATGGAAAGAAAGCTGCTTGTGTGGAGTTTTGGGAATTAGGTGGATCTTGCTGGGTCTAGAGTTTCTTCTGCAGAAGGGCATGCAAGCTTCCCCTATTGATCATTTCTGAGCGATTTTGACTTGTTTCAAGTCTTAACATGGTCAAGTGTTTTGAAATGAGGGACACATAATCATTTGTGACAGTGATTTTAACCGAGTATCTTCCAGTTAGAGTGATCCTACCCATAACTGGAAATTGCATAGAAGATATCCAGTTACCAATGTCACGTTTCCCATTATTATTAGTACTCAGTTTTGAACCAGTGCTGTTGATTCTCTGGGCAGTCTGCTATCTCTGTTTCCCTCATCTCCACTGACAGTCAGGAGTGCTTCTGCTGTTCCCCTAATGGCAGCCTCCCCACACTGTCTCTGTGCTTTTCCTCTAGTTACTTCATGATTTTCTCTGTCCTATACTTTAAGCTGGGAACTTCATTTGAGGTAACCCTGAGGTCATTAATCTGTGCTCCCTCAGATCCTTTGTTAGGACTCTCTTCTAGAATAACATTTGAAAAAATTGAACTGAGCAGAGCAGCAGTTGTATATCGAGGGAGAAAATGTTTTAAAAGTAACCGTATACATTTTATTACTCTTCCTTCTCAGTTTTATGTTGTGATTTTAGGTGGTGAGCTGTAGAAGCAGGGTCTGTTTCTTCTCTTTCCTTTCAAAGCCTTGAACATTAAGGGTACTATTACAGTACTGATAATATAAGGACAATGTTGCAAAAAATAATAAATTTTAAATTCAGAAGAAAGACAGTCAGTTGAACATCTTAAGCTATGTACTAATGCTACTAATGCTGCTATTCTTTGTCCACATTGACCTCAATTGCTGTTATGAACATTCCACTTTACTGGAAAATGAACCTCAAGGGCTTCAAAATCAGTGGGTGTAGAAATAGATGGCATGATGTTGGTGACTGGGAATTCTGCATCATTATTCCCTGCTCAAGTCTGTATAGCTATTCCTGTATTTATCTAGCTCCTGTTCACAGGTGTTGTGTGTTTGTATAAAAGGAATATATTTCTGATTCATATTCCAGCTAAAGAGGGATAGGAGCTGTTCTGTGGAGAAGCTCTTTTGAAGCAGAAAATTAATGGAGGGAAAATGACACTACTAGTGTCAAGCGCATACCTTTGGTGAATCCCTGAAAATGTTTTGTTTGGATAAATCTGAAGGGTTTTTGGATAATTCATTTTCACAAGCTGGACTTATCCTGATGTTTTGCATCGGTGCTATGGGCTTCTCTGAAGGTGACCACCTCAGTAGAAATCAGGAAATGTTTATCCTTTGCTTCAAATGCCTCTCAAAGAAATGAAGAAGTGTTGCAAAGAAAAAAGTCCAATTACACATAAGCCAAGTGCCTGGGAAAATATTAAAGGTGCTTGGAATTGGACAAGGAATCTGGGACTTGAGAAAGCTGGCAATGAAGTCATGTAATGAAGCTGAGGACTAACTGCATGGGGAGACTGAGGAGAAGATGATGTTAGGAATTAGGGATGCAAGAACTGGGTGTGAGAAGGATTTGGAGAAGTTATGGCACTCTGAAACAGAGAGTAGAAACAGAAGAAGTGAGATAGCAACAACTGTGGGCTAAGGGTACAAAGGTCAAGAAGAGTCAGAGCTAGGAGGAATACAGGTTTCACAGACATCACTGTTCCAGGATGATGTTAGTTCTAAGTAGATGTAATTTCTGGGCACCGAGGTACTGGCGTGTTCTAAAGAGAAAGAGAGCATGAGGTAGAGAGGTCTTAGAACGCTGATGGAATTTTTTTTCACATATCTGAAAAACAAAGACATTGTAGGAACAGGCACTGTTGCTACTGGATCATTCCCCACCTGAAGCCAAGACTGAAACTTCGCATTTCTGAATATTTCGTTGTGCTGTTGGCCTGTCTCTGTGACACCTACTGCACTTCATTCCCCTCTTGGTGACCTACACTAAGGAGAACATCTTGGTGATTAGCTGCTCCATTTGCTTACCTCAAGTCTGGATGGTCCTTCTCAAGGCTCCAGCATTGCTCACAATGCTGATACAAGAGAGTCATTCAATCACGACAGCTTGCACTTGTGGAAGCCTAGAATATAATGCGTTTGCACACAAGTATGGACATCCAAATGCTCTCTGTTCAAAGAAGGCAGCTGTACAATGACAAATTTAACTGTAATTCACATTAACTGCAACTCCTGTACATGTTTTGATGGTAATGTTAAAATATCAATTTCGTTCATACACCTACAGCTATCTTGACAACTTTAGGCAGGGTGAGCTGTCAGTATTCCCCAGCTCTGTAGAAAGGGGGAAAAGGAGTTGAGTGAACCTACCTCAGTCCCCACATGGGTCATTGATGGAGAGCTGAGCTGCCAGCAGTGCTGCAGCCGTTGCCATTTCTCCAGTGAGCAGTGTCACCACTGCAACGTGACTGGACACACTTCTCTATTGCAAAGATTTAGGGTAGACTTTTTTTTTTTCAGATATGAGAAGGAACAAATGAAGAATAGTGTTGTAAAACTGGAAAAAGATAAACCTGACTTTTTATCATATTCTTCTTTTTTTTTTTCTTTTTTGAAAGGTTCTTTCCCTGTCTTTACTGTATACTCAGGTTTTGTTCTTTTGTTCTGCAAGCATACGTGCATGCGTTTTTCATGGTATATTAATATGAAAATATTTTCATAAAAATCCTGCATGATTAGCTTTTCTTAAATTTCTCTTTAGCAGTCTGCTTAACCTGCTCCTGACTGTATGAGTGTCTTTGGACCACTTAGATCTTGCTGAAGCTGTTTCCGTGTTGACCCTAATGAAGTTTTATTGATATCTTTGCAGTTTAAACATGCAGGTGTGCAATAGAATATATATAACATGGTGTGTCTTGAAGTGTGGAAAACACAACTCCCAGATGTATTTCTGGTTCAGGTGCCACCAGTTCAGGTGTCGCTGATGCTGATAAAGAACACTGGAGAGAGCTATAGATGTGTTGGAGATGACCACTCACTTTCTGAAAGGGATTCCAGTTGGAGTAAAAACAGTGGAGAAGATTTGCTTAAATGACCCATTTGCACAAAATTTATCTTTGTTCAAATACTTAGTGAAAAATTGTAAGAATGCATGAATGACAGACCCTTATAAAACATACAAACAATGCCACGTTTTTTAGAAAATAGTATCCAGTCAGTTTCTCTTTTCTCTCTTTTCCAGGATGAGGAAGCTGGATTTTTTTTCATTTTTCTAGAGCAAATAGATAATGCCAGCAGTATAAATACATACGTTTAAATTCGACATCCTTTTTGTTTACCAGACTCTCAAATGTGCAAATGACATGCAAAAGTTATTTCACCTTTGTGCAATGTCAATGCAGTATCTGCCTCTAAGGTGTTCTGGTATTATTGGGCTCTTGCTTTTTCCACAGCATAATGCTGCCACCTGATGGCAGAAATAATTGGAATAAATCAGTATGTGCTTTTGCAGGTTGTACACTTTATTGTAGTGAGTTTCATGTGATAATGAATATGTGTTAAATAAAGTAATTATGGCTATGTGCTCACTCATTCAAACTGCAGAGAAGCTTTATTGTGTGCTTGTGCTCTAATGCATTAAATATTTTATTTTGGAAAGCAGGATGATTGGAAGCCTAGCATCGCTTTTGTGGTGGGAGCCAGAATTGAGGATGAAATTCACACAAAGGCCTTGTCCCTTGCTGTGCAGGTGCCACAGCGGAAGCTGTTCAGCGTGGTAGCACATGAAGATATCTTCAGACAGGTATTCCAAGAAAGGAACAAACCATAAATGAATCACTCTGGAAATTTCAAAAGTTACACTACTTCATAGGAGTTAAAAATGGAGGTAGAGAACCTTACTATGTAAGTTGGTTTGCTCCCTGTGTTTAAATCTTCTTCAGACTTTTCTTCAAGGTGCTCATTAAAGCTCCCTCCCTAAGGAACTTTAAGATGATTAACAATAGCAAGTTTTGTTGTATTTACAATAACAAGTAAAATAATTTGTTTAAAATTAAAATCTGATCACAGCAGAATGCTTTATTTCCTTGCAGATTGCAGAATCTGGAAGTCAGAAGGGGAAAAAGGTTAAGGATGTGCCTGTGTTCTATGAGGTAAGTTAAAACATATATTGCAAAGTCAGTGCTCTTATGTTGAGGTAATTACAGCTGTGTAATTATGTTATACATACCAGAGTACATGCAATTCTACTGACTATATCTGGTATGATCACTCAGTTTAGATACTTGACTGCTTTCTTTCTCTGATACCAACATATTTCTGTTGGACTACTAATTAGGTGAGAATCAAGATATCTTTTTAGAGATATTAGTTTTATTAAGAATATGTTATGAGGTCTTATTTTGATGGTAAAAATTACGGAAAAATAGACTCTGCTCTTCCAGATGCTCACAGTTACTTAGAGACTTATACCTTCATTTATTGGCATGCAAGCCCATAAACGAAACACCAGCTCTGTGTGCTAGTATCCATTATAATCTCAGTTTGATGTTAAATTCTAACCTGATTCGTCAAGTGGGGTATGTCAGTGGGGTTGGGAGTCATGCTTAGTACAAAGAGGACTTCCTTCTCCCTACCTTGTTAATGTTTTACGTACAGCTTGTGAGAGGCTATAAAATTCTGTAATTAATTAGAAGATTGTTTAAAATTTTCTCAGGTAGTGTTTTATGGCCCTACAGACCTGGAACATTAAGAATTTTGGATCCCTCTAAAAAGATCTTGTTTGCATTTTAGTTCTGAAATGACTAATAAAGTTTTTATATGTCTCGGGTTTTGGTGGACTTTATAACAGGTCTTTTTAGTTGCAGTCTGTTTTTCAGTAATGCCAGACTACTATCTGAACAAGTCCCTTTGGAATTATTTACCACTGACATGACTGTGAATTTTATGCAATTAACCCTCTTTGTTTAGGACCAGCCTCCCAGGCAAACCCACCCTTATATTACCTGGGATGTAAAACCCTTTCAGTCCTACTGACGGAAAGATTTTGAAGTCTGGTTCTAAGCAGAAGCTTTGTATGATACCTGTATTTAATTACTAAGAGCAATTTTCCTTGTGAAGTGGATACTTATTAAATTCCAGCTGTCAGTTCTGTGTCTCATTAGCTACTTACTTTATTCCTCAAAGACATTTTTTTCCTCCCTTCCTTTAACAGAGAATATAAAATGCCTGTTCTGACCTTTTGCTTGGACTCAGTTTCCTTTCTGGCTGTAGCAAATTAGAAGATTGATCATGTTGCCACAAGCATTAGGATCCTGCCTCTCTGGGCAGAAATTTGCTCCTGAGTGTGTGCTTCAAATCCACGTACAGTCTGCATTCAAAGCTTTTGCTGCAATAGGAATGAACAAGTATGAGGCTAGCACAGAACAGAGCTATGAAATGCTCTTTAGAGAGGAGCATTTCTGACCCTGCTGCACACAGTTCTTCTCTGTTGTGGGATTCAACACACTTGAGGAATATGTACATTCCACAGGTGCATATTCATTTCTAGTGACACAGTAAATTAAATTACTAAACCATTAATGATCTTTGTATGTGTAAAGTATGCATGTGAGTGAATTTCAGACTGATGACTGATGCATATTAATGTGGCTGTTAATTGTATTAACAGCAACACTGTTACCCTGCAAATTGTGTCTACTCAGATGTTGGGTGTTTTAATAAGTTCCAATGTAGCAGTCTGCAGTGCCTGCTCTAAGTCAAGAAACATTAACAAACTGTTGTGTTGGTGTAGTGCAAGCTAGATATATATCATAGCAAAGCAATTCCTTTTGTCTGTTCTAAATTATTTCCCTTCAGGGCTTTTAGCATCTTAGTGTGTTTGATTTCATATAACTTACTGTAGAAATTGAACAGGATAATAGCAGGGCTTATGGATGTAAAGCTAAAAGATTTCCAAATCCAGACAGATTTAGTGTCTAACTGCTTTTCTTCCTCTGAAATGACTTGAGGAGGAGTAGGAGCCCTGATTTGTAATTTATTGCTATTTCCAGCACTTAATTAAATGATGTTAGGCTAATTATCTCAAAGATGCTTTTTTTTTTTTTTTTTTTAATGGAAAGAAAAACATTACATTACATTTCCTGTAAAATAATAACAGATTTCATATTGAGTCAGGTTTATTTATCATAGACAAATTTTCTAACAGACAAGACCTAAAGCTGTATTTTGAATAAAATATATGTATTATGTATACGAGGTACGTATCTTCTATTGTTTATGTACCTGTTTGTGCTGTAAGTTTTCTGTTAGGATGGGTAACGTTATATGTAATTACGATGCTTTACCACTACAAAATATGAGACTGTGTTTCAGTTTCCATATGTTGATTTTTGAAAATCTTTTCAAGCCTACATTTTCCATACTGGCTTTGTTCATTTTGTTCATCACACTATTTTTAATTATTTTTTTCTGGAAAATTCTAGTGAGATTGAGTTCAAGGCCTATAGGTATGGAAAGATTTTTTTTTTTTTTTTCCTTACAGCATTTGTTTTCCAGCTTTGTCATACTCATAAAGGCAGGGTTTGGAATATTGTCCTTACGTTACTCAGAAAATCTTGAGAAGGATTCTTGCCACATACACGGAAGGGAATAAGCTGGAGCTGGAGAGTAGTACCATGGTAAGAAAAGATTTTAAGAGAAGTTGGAACCTCATGCAGTCCCTAAATGTGAGAAGACTGCAAGTAGATAACGGGGTTGCTGCAAAAAAACAGCTGAATAATGGATGTGGCCATGAGAGGGAGGGGCACGGGAGAGTGTACCTTGTTGCTTACAGAAAAAGTATCAACTCAGATACCTCACACTTCAGGACTGATATAAGCAGAGAATGTGCCAGTTTTGTTGTTCGAGTGAAGATACATAACAGTTAGCTCATATTGACGGACATAGACAGGCATATAGAGGTATCTACCTAGTTGTGCAGTTTCACAAAACAACCCAAAGAGACCCCCAAATCAAACCTGCTACTGATAAGCATAGTATGCACAGTTTTCCTGTCAAAATCCAGTTAAATTGAATGTTTGCACATAAATCTTAATTAGTGCATGTTTTGTACAGCTCATTTTTGAGGACTAGAAGGTTATTGATTAGAAACAGAATCTCACCTTGCTTTAAAATTGTTTATAGGGTACTTGTTTTTTGTTTAATGGTTGGGTTTTTTTTTTGTTGTTCTTTTTTTCCCCAAGTCTGTGCTGTCAGAATCCTTGGGAGTTTGTGTAATGTTAACAGTACTTCTTGCCTTTATAACAGCAGGATCGGAAGTGTCCTTTGAGTTTTGAGGTGTAAGTGAAGCAGATTCCCATCCTATCACTTCTAACTCAGGATATGTTACTTGAAATATTAAGACCTACTGTAGGATAGTAAAAATTGAAAAAACTGAAATGGAGAGCAAACTGAATGAATTTTGGCAGAAAGTGATAGACTTAAACCAGTCTTACTTGAGGCATTTCTGTGGATTATTTTTTTGCTTGGAGTTTGTGGAATATAGATTTATGTGGTAAGAGTTGCTGCCTGTAAGATTATTTGAAGTAAGTATTATTTTTCGGTGATACCACAGTGTCCACAATAAAGAAGAGATCCACTTTGGAAGGGAACTCAGCGTGTAGTTCCTGGCATAGGTGCTATTCTTGTATTATGAATGTTTGCATGTATGCATATATGTATGTGTGTGTGCTGATTTACATAAATAGTCAAAGCTGTCTTATTCTAGTACTCCCTCACCTCAATGGCATGAATTGCATTGAGGAATTCAAAACAATTTTTGTGTCCTTTCTTCAGTAGGTCCTAAATACCTCCTGCCTTTCTATTTTTTTTCCATGATGTCCCTTTTTTCTGCGATCTGTCTCTAACAATACTTTCACTGAAGAAAGGAGGGGAAAAAAAAAAAAAAGAAAAAAATAAGGAACTAGGAAGAAGAAGGGTATGCATCTATATTGCCAAAAGGATCTTACAGTAAATTTATAGTGTAGAAAAACTGAGCTACTGGTTTTATCGTGTTGTGTTTGTTTGTTTTTTTTAATGTAATATGGCTAATGGTACCATACCTTTGGTGAAAAAGTGATATGAATCTCTCTTATCATACTTTCCTGAATGAAGTAGCTTCATATATCAGACATCTTGCTTTTGAAAAAGTAGAAATGAAAATCAACATCTTTAGCCCATTCACCCCTGCTCCTGTAACAATTGTCACTGTCCTCTGTAGTGATTCTTCCCATGAACTCTTTTGTCATCCATTAGATTCTTGTCCCTAGTTGCATTCATGATTCCACATCCCCCTTTTAGCTATACAGTTTTCTACCCTACTACCATAAGTATTTTTGCAATCTAATGACCTAGAGTATACGTCTGTAACATATATTTCTTGTGCTTAATTCTTGTTGCATAAAGTTGATATATGCAATGCTTTTTAACTTGGATTTTACATCAGATTAATAGCTCAATGTGGAAACAAAACTCTTAATGTTGCAGACATAATACTTGCTACTAGGAGTATTTTTATCCAAGAAGGCATAAGCTCTTGTGAGTTTTGTGGCAGCTGGAGGAGAGCAAAGATTGATTAGTAGCCAGGATATGTGTTACTGAAGAAACAAGTTTCAGAAATAACACAAGTAAGGAATGTTGTTAGGGATTCCTTTTGGTGTCTTGTAGAAACAAAAATGATCAAAGGTGAATTGTTTTTGTGGAAGTGTATGTCTTGACAAAACACCATCAGAAAGGATAAGATCAAGACTAGGCTTTCTCAAAAGTAGAGATAGTCAATCTAAAATCTAGTCTTCAAAGTCAAAAGATGATGTGATTAGAATTTATTTTGTAGTAAAAGTTAGATTTTGCTTTCTTTCCACTGTGGAAGAAAAAATACATCAAAAAGTGATTGTAAAATCGAATAGTTCAAGAACCAGAACTCTTCACACGTGTGTGTCATTGTCGTGTTGAGAATGCTTGATAGTAAAAATCGCTTCAAAAGTCATGCTGACTGCTCAGAAGGATAGAAGAGTTTAATTTTAATTTTGAAGGCCACTGCAAATACTGCAATCTTAAATATTAGAATAGAATAGAATTGTTCTCAGGTCAGCCTTTGTCAAGTGCAATTGTGTGA